CTAATTGTTGTAAAGAAAAGTTTAAAGCCTTGAACAAGTGTAAATGCACAGTATTGACCATTCCTTTTTCATATTTTTAAACCTTTTTTATGTCAACCCATCATGCACTTAATCGATATTTTTCTTTTTTCAAAGGCAGTACAGTTTGTAAGGTGAGAAGAGGTAGTAGTTTTTATTCTTGACAATTGGTTCGGCAAATTACAGAAGATTACTTATCTTTTCTTCAGACATTCCACCTACATTCACCGATAGAGTTGCCTTCTTTTCTTACATGTCGAAATCGGAATCCCATCACTGCCAGCATCAAACAATCATCTTCGTTGTTGCACATACAAATATCGGAAATAACTATAGTCCCCATACTGGTGCTTTCACTTCACCATCTCATGGTGTGTACGTATTTACTTGGAAAGTATATGCGCCCACTGGTGGATATATTTATACTGAGTTAATCGTCAAATCGAATCCAGTATGCGGTTCATATGCTGACGCAAGTGGTCTAAATGATATAATATGGCCGTGTTGGAATTGAATCAGGGAGATGAAGTACACATTCGAACACCCCCTGAAAAGTCTGTGAGTCAGATTTTATACAGCACACGCCAGTATCGATCTACTTTCAACGGATGGAAATTGTTTTGAAAATTACAATAAATCGAGTTTGAAAAATTGTTTTTCAATAAAGTTAATACAGCATATGTTTTATTCTTCTATTTTCTTTTGAACAAAGTTTGCATCACGTAGCTTTGCGTTTACTCATCAACATGGAAAAATGACTTCTTATACATATCAAATTTTATTAATAAGCTTCCCCGCTTACCGCCAAAAAACATTTACGTATCGATTACATCCCTTTATAAACCTCTTTATAACGCCTTACCCCGCATATCGGCCATCCGTCAAGGTATTCTATGTCACGTTTAGCCAATTACTATTAAAAGTACCCCATGATAATTATCGCCAATTATATCTTCGGCGAGAGAATTTCAGTGACCGTTCTTAAGCAACTATCCCCGATTAGTTTTCCAGGAATCAAAATTTGGAGTAGATTGGAGTAGATAATAATAAGTTACAAAAATACGAGGGCTGATCGGAAATTATTGAGACATTTACTTTTACTCCATAAAGGACAAATTCATGAAAATTCGGCAACATTGTATAAAGTACGATTTAAACAAATGTGCGAAATTTCCGCTTTTTTTCTTTTATTAATTCTTAGTGTTTGTCAAAACTATACACAAATTTTCACCGAAAGAGATTCAAAAAAATATATACATACACAATGTCTCAATAGTTTCCGAACATCAATCGTAAATATTTGAATTCAAAACTTGAGTCTTCTTTTTGAAATCTGAGTATGGACGACTCGCCGAAATTACCGAGGTCTCCCTCTTATATATTAAGGAACTCTTTCATTCGATGACAGTAATGCTTTTTTGCCTTCTACATTGAAGAGCTATTTTCATGAATCATTAAGTTTTTTTTTTTACAAATATACGTAAGTTTTATTTTTGGTTATTACATATAACAGCATCAAAATCTTGAAATAGTACATTTATAATTCATGAAATTTGTTTTTATTTATTATACTATCTGTGCAGATTACATGTACTTCTCTCCACCAGATCTAACGCTAACCACACGAACACTACCAAAGCAGCAATACTGGCGTAATAACGGGGATCACTGTTTATGTTCATACAAGGACACATTAAATTGTCGTCAAATTATGGTATTTTGCAGAATCACTAATAAAAGCATCTTTCACATTTTGAAAGTTAACACCATTAACTACGTACTCTGTTTAGAATATTGAAGTATGTTACTAATGCTTATGGCCTTCGGACTTTTATAAGCATAAGATATTTAAACAATATTAGAGGAGCTTTATTTTACCTATCTGGTATTACATCTTACTGATTTTTATTTGGTGTGATTTTTCCAAATTGACCTGGAGTTAAATCTTTGACACTTTCGTTGTCACAATTTAAACAAATCACTGTTCTAAACAAGAAGACAGACGTCAAGCGGATTAATACGTTTTTGACGTAAGTCATTATGACGTAGGCGATGCAGGTTATACGATATAGACTAATTTTTATCCAATCAAATGACGCGTTACAAAATTAAATTGTTACGCTTTTTTTTTTAAATTCACGTTCAGGTTATACGTTCAAAAAAAATTTTAAACATGAAATATAGTATAATGTAGAATCAGGTATATACATTTTTTAAACAAACTTGTCAGTCGGTAAATAAGAATAAGGAAAACAAGAGGAATAAAGACGGTCAAAAAAAAAAGTTTTCAGAAATTTTTCATTTTTGTTTTCAATATTCCCAAACAATTAATTGCACGAGATCTATTACAATATTATTTACGACAGTTATCTTTTTTTAAAGTGAATTAATCTTTTCATTCTACGTTACAAGGATATTTATCAGGAATCTGAGCGTTACCACAAATCGTGCAAAATCGTGCACGATATTATTATTCCATACAAGCTTACAGTTTCTTCTGTACGCAATGATCTGTTCGCAGTACAGTTAAAGTGACAAATGGAAATATCGACGATTTTTTCTGAAAAACATACAATCTTTAAAAGGATGCGCAATTCTTTTTAGGACTTTTTAGGTATAAGACAAATGTAATGTGGTTCAAATCTACATGTTGGGGACGTTTAGATTTTTTTATTTATTATTATTATAGGCTTATTACGTGATGTCGGAGTCACATGATTTTAGCAAATGTACTTGCAGTATTGAGGTCATCTATAAATTCCAATATTGCAATGGCATTACCAAGTTATAAATATAAGTTTAATTCATAATTCCTTTCAACACTTATGAATTCCGTGAAAAGTGCTGCGAACCTAAAAAAAATATATTATTTAATTGCTATAATTGCATTCGTTAAATCGCGAATTGAATATTTTGCTGGTCAACTACACTAGACATAGATATAATTAATTTATTTGCAAGTTTCCATCAGGTTCGCATCATTTTTAAAATATCTTAATGCTTTTTGAGTTTATGTGTAAAAACATGTCATATATCAATTTGCAATAAACCGATTTATTATGACCTTTCTATTACTTTTTCAAAGGATTCTCATACAAATATGCGACATTATCACTTGTCTAGAGAATATACGGACGGGATATTAATAAAATAGACATCGCATCCAAGTTAATGGCATTTCATATATCTGGAAATTGTATTTTATTTTAATACAAAATATTTTTCTCATTGTACATAATGTAACTTAACTTTGTCAGCCTCTCACTGCTTACAAACTGCGTCAAATTTTACGATATTACGTCACATTGACAAGTGCAATGCGACCAATCAATCGCTTATATCTTGCTGAGTGGGATTTAGCTTACTGTATATAATATAAAGTTTTGATGTAGTCTAAACTGAGCTATCCAACAGTTTAAAATAGCAAATAATTCCATTTTGTGATACATGTACTTTGAAGACCTGATAGTTTTGTATGACGTCATAGTAAACATTCTCGTGTAAATCAAACCCCGCCTCCTAACTGTTGCCTTAACTGTGCTGCGTTCTGCTTAGTTATAAGTATTTTCATAGATTATAGAAATTACCTTTCAAAATAACTTTCAAATCCAAAACTTCCTTGAGAAGGTTTAATCCCAAGGTTTTTTTAAATATTTTTTGTTGTGTCCTAAAAAATCATATAGCATAATTATGTGCAAGTCATATCAAATACATTCGTATGCTAAAAGACGTCAATTGATCCCTTTTTGGATATGGTTTATGGATTATACTATATTCGTATATATTGTGAAAATTAGTTATTTGCAGTTTTTAAGGCTTCTGAAAGAAATATTCAACCTTTGTATTGTTATAACCTTAAAAAGTTATTTTTTTGAATTATAATTAATTTGTAATGTATGTTTGATAATATGTCTCATATCAATTTAAAATCCACATTGATACTTTGATACACTACGCGTATTTCAAATTTTAAACAAAGTTTCAATTTTTTTGTCCGGACCTCAAACAAAATATGACACACAATCGTTTGACAATATAATGAAATAAAAAAAAGAAAACAAACTTTTTTGCTATTTGAAGGTAGTTTACAAATTTCTTTTAAAATACAGCCTTGATGTTTCATGACGGGAAAAATGCCATAAAATCCACGTCAACATTCAAACAAACATGTAAAATGTAAGAACCTTCTGTAAAATTATATTATTCTGACTGCAGCTTCAAGCATGGGAATATGTAATTATTATTGAATATCAAAACATGTCTTTGTTTTTTCTTCTCTAAATTGAAATGAATTGTATTCAATATTATATAGAGAAACTCTGAAATGCTATTTCAATACAATCCATTCATAGAGAACTTTTTTTTAATGTATTATGCTTAGGTTGAAGTGAAACTCCTTTGCATTGATATAAAACACTAGAAAATGTAATTTACCCTCAAAAGTGTAAGATGGATATTTCACGAAATATTTTTTCACAGAAGTAATCCTTAAGCTTGATCACAGCACTTTAGAGGTAAATCAGGAAACAATAGTGAATTTACAAACCGATTGACGTTCTTGTTGAAAAGATAAATTATAAAATCTTCAAGTGAACAGCCGATCATATTTTATAACAACAACAAAAAATCAATATGAAAATCAAGAATCCCTTTGCGCAGATTGTATGTTTTATGTTCATACAGGTTGTCTATGGAAGTCAAAACTGAGATTAAAATGTAGCGATGTATTTTGAAATCAATTTAATGCTTCGTTAAGCTTTATCATAGCTGCCTTGGCCACAAACACAGATGTTGACCTTTTCCAGCATGTAAATTTCATAAAACCAGAATAATTTTGTACTGTCAGTTGTTCGGAAGATAAATCTTTGACCTTTTCTGTGTAAACGTCCTTCATTAACATCGTATATATTAATCATTACCATTGATATGCTTCGCAATATACAATTTTAAGGATTCGTCCTAGTCTAACCATCGATTTGGAAAATGTTTATCAAAATCATGAGTCTTGCTGTTTTTGTGGTTTATATGCTGATTGAACGGTGTCATTGCGTAAGTTTCTTTTTTATACTTTTATCAGAATCATTTACAATTTATTAGAAAGCAATTATTGGCAAAGAGTAAGAATGTTTCAAAAAGATAAAATTTATTTCACCAGAAACTACAAAAAAGCAGAAACTTAAATTTATTGATACTTTTCAAAACATGTTGCAAACGGGAAAGAAAACCTCCATATCGTTATTTTTTCATCAGGTTAGTGTGTAATTGCTATGATAATTTACATGCTGTGATCATTTTTTAAAATCAAAATTGGTATAAATTGCATGCTGATAGTATTCTTTTAATCATGCATATATCTAAGTGTTCTTCATATCAGTCGTTTATATGTAAACATTTTGAAAAAAAAAAAAATAAAGATCAGAGCCTTCTTCTTTTTTTGTAAAAATAATAAGAGTTCTGACAAAACGCATGCATAAAATATATTCGTTTTGGAAGAGACATTAATAAAGTTATATTTATTAAATGACAGGCTTCCGAAATTATACGGAATATTGAGGAGCCAAATATAAAACCCTTGTATCTGAATGTATCTGAGTCGGCAGAAGAAAATAAAGTAACTGTGTACGGAAAATTCCGTGGCCCTAAAGACACGACAGGAAAGATGAAATATGGGACGATTGTCAAATTTGATAAAGGTATGATGTATATTTGTTTCATTTTACTTAATTATTTTTTCGCAATTAATTTGAATGGGAAATTGCAAGATGGTGTGGGTGGGTGGCTGGGTTACTGTGCCCTTGCCTGCGTAACGGGACGTAGTTTTCACCAGGAACACTGTCTTATGCTGGTTTAATTTTAAGATACATGTATGTCAGGGGATGTTCCATTTTGTGGTGCCCTTGTTTTATCATTTTTTTTTTTTTTTTTTTTTTTTTTTGGAATATTTAAGTACGTTTCAAAAAAATTGTTGCAAGAAAAAAAAAACCTATTGGAAGGATTGTTAGAGAATATACACCTATAATCGAGGGATTTGTTTATAAGTAATATAAGAACCCAAAATACAAAATCTTTCTTCTCCCCACAATATCGAAATTCCGGGTTTTCAATATCCGACAAACTCAAAAAAGAAAACCCAAGTAACATGTTATTTTAATTATTAGTTTTTAAGTAACGACATTGATTTTTGTTTTGTTTCTATTTGTTTATGTTTGTTTTGTTTTGTTTTGTTTGTTTGTTTTGTTTTGTTTTTTTTTAATATGTAAAGAATGTGTTTTGTATACGATGCACAACAAAATTCAATATTTTCGATTAATTTTCATTTTTGAGCCGGCGTTTGCAATATATGAATAAAATAAATCGACGAGACCCAACATGGATTATATCTAATTGGATTTGAAATACACCCAGATGTCATAGGCATATGCATGTATGCAACCCATTAATCAACAGATGATTGCATCAGATGACTAACCTAATAAAAACGCTGATACTGATTAAATATATGTAAATGCATGAACAGTTAGCTTTATTTCAAATGCTTCATATAGAATTTATAATGCTTTCGGTTAATAAAAATATTTTGGTTGAAAGAACTTGTTGATAAATTCCTTTGAATATGTGTCCATATTTCATAAAATTTCAGATAAAAATGTTGCCAAGATTACTACAACAAATGGTTTATTTTCCTTTTTAAATAAGAAACTCATTCTCAATTTTCTTTTTCTTTGCATAAAATTTCGTCAAAGTATGGGATACTACCACATACGTGAACTATGTAGATGAAATTTAAGGAGATAACGAACAGTATTCAAGCTGCTCAAAAGTCCATTAAACAAAAAATATCATGGTCATATATGTAGCAAACACAGACCTCTAAAACATCAGATGTGGGATCAGGTTTCAGATACATGTAATATATCAAAAAGGATATATTACAATAGCAGGTACATTTCTCGTAGTTATAGTAACATGTAGTCCAAAACAGTCCTGCTCAAATTTAGGAGTGGCTTTGTTACTAGTACTAGTATTTGAAACATTAAATGTGAACAAAAACACCGCTCCGTGGTAATAAGAAAGCTCTTACATATTATACTTTTTAGGGGAGCACAATAGGCAAACTGAAATACATTTTATGTGAACAATTAAAGTACATGTAGTTTTCATAACCTTCTTTGATCAATTAGTTACATGTGTCATTATTTTTCAGTTCTCGACTCAACGGAAGAATCATCCGAGTATGAATTTGTTTTGAGTCATGACTCACGAAGATACTGGCCAAGAATTACGCTGACTTCAAAATCTGCATTAGAATCTATGAAGATTTATTTCAACTGGATTGTGGACGAACCTGTACAATCCAAGTTTACTGGAGGAAATTGTTTGGTTGGGATTAATAAGTCCTCAGAGAATCATTCTACGACTTACACTCCAGTTCTTCAAAACTGTAATCACCGTATTGATGATTACTTTAAATTTGGCTTTAATAAATCTGGTGAGATTGTTCAACTTCATTCAGACATGTACTGCTTTTCTGGGAATGACGAATATAAGAAGTACTTCACATCTAACTGCACACTTTCTGGACCATTTCACCTCTCATACGTAACATTTTACGAAAACAAAATGGCTGCCGACAATGTTCAACTACTTTATCTCAATTACATGTTCAGTCCTGTGGGACCTTGTTCTTACCAATGTATTGCAGATTTGAAAGAATGGTTTTTCTCAATCATTTAGCAGAGTACAGATTTAATAAAAATTTCTAAAGTAATAATACACTTTTTGCATCATCTTCTCTCTCTTTAAGTAATGACTAATATTATGAAAACTTACAGCACTGTTCAGGCTGTCTGAGGGCATACAAATATCTATACTTAACGTATTTAATGTCATGGGACTGAATAAATTGTTTTCAGATAATGTTATCTTAAAGTTCATTTAATCAAATTTTCCTGTGTAAGAGTGGTTCACACAGTACACAACGTCTTTATCGTGGTTAACAACACTTTAACGTCTTTCACAGTAGCCTGCCTGGCTTTTGAAATTGATTCTTAGTTATTGCATATCGATTCAATTAGGTTACATAATCCAACGTAATCGTTTCAGCAATAAATGGAATTAACGAATTAAAAAAAAATAAAATAAAAACCATTGTTTTGTTTGGGGTTTTTTTTCCCATCAAGTGTAGTTGTTAATGGTGCATCTGTGTCTCTTTAAAGTAAAATATCGAAACACTCAACAACTCAACGTAATTTTTTCCCACAAATGTGTTTAGTGTTTAAACCTGAGAATGAATTTTCAAATTTTAACAAAACAGCAAAGACTTTATTAAGTTAAAATCATCATGTATCAATCAGCTGAAAATATCTACGTTACACTATTTGTATTTTTTTTTTTATTATTATTTTCCTTTCTTAATATATTTTATCTTTTTTATTTCTTACTATATCTTTATTATGTGTTTTCTTCAATTTAGTTTATAGAAAAATACTGCGTAGGTCAATGAAATATTAAGATTGGGTAATATTGGAGAGGCTATGATCATTTCTTAACTCATTTATGGTGAAATATTATTTGGAATATGTCAAAGGATTCATTAGTTTAGCCCATTAACATTCTAACAAATATATATTAGCAAAATTAAAATAACAGCAAACGTTCGAAGCAGCCCTATGACATATTGTGTATAATGTTTTCATGACAGATCCCATCCATCCTCCTTTTACAGCCTCAAAGTCTTTGCGTGTCTTCATTTAGAATTCAAAATAATAAAATACTCACTATACTTACAGTTCTATTGCTTTGTGAGCTTTACAGACCAATTTTACAGAATGTAAATAACATGAAAAATTTACGCATTCATGGTAAATATGATCATGATTTTTTTTTCTTTTTCATCTTTTGGAAAAAAAAATTAATAATAATAAAAAAAATAATGTATTATACTTTCAAATAACTTAAGCATTTCTAATAAATGGTCAAAACAATAAACAATAATTGTTTTGGCAATAAACTACATTGTGTAATGGTACACATTTTTAGGCGTTTTTCCTCAACATAGATGCTTTTATTTATGATCATTCTTTGAATTTTTTCAAATTAACTTTCACTTTCAAGGAAAATGTTCTGTAATGTAGAAAATAATGTACTGTATAATCCGAACGAATTAGACCTGTAAAATAAAACTCCTATTAACTAAAAGCTTATCGGTCTAAATTTAACAGTGTTGAGATTTTTCTTTTTTTAATTTGTGAACAAATTACAAACAAGTCATACATTAAAGGATAGATGAAACTTTGACATTTTGAAACCTACGAGAAAATAGCTTTAATTTTGATTCATTCTCCGATTGAGGCACATGACTTTTTGAGGAGGATAATTTTGCACATTATACTTATTTGTATTAAGGCACATCTATCCTATTTTGTTGAGTGATTACAAGATAGACTTTAAACAAAATTATTTGGATGAGTGATTGCGAAATTCACATTAAACTAAAGCAATGCTAATCGCTCACATTAGGACATATTTATATAATATAAAGAGTTGTCGGTTGTGTAATGTTAATAAACTTTCAAAGACCCAGCTTTTCTTCATATTGCGAGGTCCAAGTTATGAATTGTAACATATCCATTAAAATGATATGTTTTGCAACTGGTGTCATGTGGATAATGCTTGGAAGTTGTGATTGCTTAAGTATCATATTTTTATTCTTATATGTGCAAAGTTTAAGTTTTAATAGATAGGTGAGCTAGCACTGTAGCTTATTTAAAACTTGGTATATTACATTGTACAAACAAATCGTTGATGTTGTTGAGTCCCTTATGTATTGACAGAGAGATAGTGCTGCTCTCGATGGGGGTGGGGTTCAATAAAGAAATCTCGAGTGAGCTTTACGTTGTCAATGGCCTTACTGTGCTTTACGCCATCTGTCGTTTTCTGTCATTTTAAAATTAAATTGAAAGTTATATGACATTAAGAGATCGCTGTACCTAACAAACACCTAGTTTGTAATATTCCAGTGTGGTACTCTATAAAGTAATTGCATCTCTTCCTGGGCTTTTCCAGTAGTCCGCATCACCAAATGTTAAAATTTTGTACAAATTGACATCATTTGAAATATTTTCTAGTACACCCATCAGCCAGGCAATTCTAAAAATAGAGGACCCAACACAGTGCTGTGATTTTTCTTATTTCGTTTTAAAATTGACATCGTTTTTGAATGAGTAATTTAATTTGACTGCATTGCTATAACAGTTTTATGTTTCAGCAGTTTGATATCGTATTGGTGTATAAAAAAAAATAAATTACGGTTTCGCCTTCGTCAGGGATCCAACCGTAATTTTTATTGTGGCAAGATGGCTTTTGCAAGCAAAACATCAATACTTTAATGTTTAGCATATGCAATCATTGGATTTGTTTGAAAGATTTATTAGCATGGTTCATCTGATAAAACTAATGACCAATATTTTTAGTAATTTGGATTTCAGACGTTTAATGGTCTTATATTCTGCAAGAATTACTTGCTAAAAACATTAACCGCATATTATTTTAATACTTTTCGCAAATAATATAAAATATGAAATACGTCTAAATAAATGTCAATGATTAAATCATCTATTATTGTATAATGAAAAGCGGTCTGTGATTAGGTCTTCCATTCTACATTGGCGGATCTAGGAAATTTTATGAAAGGGACTGTACAAAACTATCTCCCCCAACGAAATCGAAAAAAGAATTATAATGTAACATCTATAATTCTAAAAGTCTTAGACAAATACATGTAGCTTTTAGATACATTTTTCATGAAGCATGTTTCTATTGTAGAACATTTTATTTTGGCAACATCATTTTTTTCCTGAAAAAAAGGTTTTTTTCCCCCTTTTTCTTAAATAGGAGAATTCTTTTATGATGCCTTGTTATAATTGTATATTACATTTAATTAAAGAAAGTTTACGAGAAGGAAATTTTTGGAAGCACTCGATCTCGCATTAGTTCTCAAATAATTGTTATCGTCATAAAAAATGATGTACATGTAGATTATCACAGGATGAAAAGCCAGGTTTCCCAAATTTGGAAACCTGATGGAAACATATGGGAATCGTGACATCAGTAGTTTCCATATAGTTTCCATTTTATGGAAACCACATAGTGGTTTCCACGTAGATTCCCGATATGGAAACAATCAACCTGTGGTTTCCCGTAAGTTTCCCAATATGGGAAACCGCAAAAAACATGCAGTAGTGGTTTCCACGTAGATTCCCGATATGGAAGCAATCACCTGTAGTTTCCTGCATGTTTCCCAGATATAGAAAACACGTATGCTGTGGTTTACACCTATTTTCCCGATAAAAGACATTTTGGAAATGTGTATCAAAAGAATAATTAAAAAAACTGTTTGTTTAATTCTGTGTAATAAAATTGAACATTCTGTGATCACCGTAAACCCAAATTAAAATACTTTTCTTAACATTTTAGTCTCGGTAAAACTCATAAAGACACGTGAATTGGAATTAGTAGTAAGAGAAGATTTAATACAACTTTTAATTTTAGAAAAATCAGTGTTCAGATAAAATTCAATCATTGCGCTAACCCTTGCAATCGCGGGCACCTGTTCTCACGTGCCACAGGTGGAGACACGTGTCGCGAAGACACCTGCGACTGTGTATTTTTTGTATATTCTGTGTGATTTGAGAGGGTTTTCTTCCTAAGGGGAACAATGGGCTGTGGTTAAGCAAGTACATACACATAGTCTCCTCAAACTCAGTTTAAATTTAGGAGATAATTGCTGACATTGATTTGATTAAAAAAAAAATAATTTAAATTATCAATAAGACCACAGAATATTGATAAAATAAGCTACATTAATTTTAAGATGTTCAATAAGAGAGGAAAAAAGAAGAATTGTATTTCAATTTTTCATTACTGATTAAAAAATAAAATTTCCTAACCGTTTAAAAATTATATAATTATACTTTTCTATCGGTCTAGAATAAATCTAAATTCTCGTTATGTGTTAAATCATAATTCTTTTTCAAATAAATTTGTAAGTGCATAGATAAATGAAATAAAATTTCTTAATCGGTAATAAACGAATCGTCCTTGTTTGACATCAATGTAAACTTCAAATATTGAAAACATAGAAAGAATTATTAATTATCAACTTTGTTGCCTGCTTAATTCGCAAATTGTTTATGAGAAAGGATGCAGATGGATCTATTATACAACATAACAACTAAATTACTAATGTTTTGTGTGAAGTTCGTATATAGTCCTCTACAAAGACATTGATAAGATAATACCGCAGAATAATATTCATATACAAAATTAATGAGTGTTAACTAAATAACTTATTTTTTTTATCTATATCTGTACACAGATCCTGATGTAGTAAATGTCTTCATTTTTAGCAGGAAATTACAACAATGTTGGTCTTAAATGCATACATGCACGTATATTTAATTTAGCCATTTTGTACACAAAGACCAATGCTGGCTCTAAATAAAGAAAAGTCTATGATATTTATATAACATGATTTTCTTTTCCTTAAGAACAACGTCTTCTGAAGAACTGCATGCTATAAGGCAATTCATTGAAGGGAAAAAAACAATAATTGATTAATTGTTTTACACGTAGATGCTTAGCGAAAACTAAATATTTTTAAATCGTGTATTGTGTTAAACAGAAGGTTACCCCTTTCAAATTTAAGCCCCCTCCCCTCCTTCAAAAATTGAGAGAAAATAGTTTCTTTCGTTATTTAGGCATAATATACTGATGTGGTGATTGTCAATACTACTACATGTACAAACATTTCTTTATATATGCCGTCCATTTCTTGATTTTTATACCC